TTATAATAAATACAGATAGGACAACTTTTGGACGGCCAAAAGTCCTTTAACCAATTTCCAAATTATCCAAGAAAGCAAAGAGCGAGACAATCGATAATTAAACTCGCTTTATCCTAAATTTTTATAAATTTGTCAAGTTTTTCTTTGCATTCCAATAAAGTCACACGACATTACATTCGATAAATACCAAATGCGTAAAAAATTTCACGTATAATCGCACATTCAGTGACCGATATTCAATGAAAAATAGTCGGATTTGCATTTAAAAAAAGGCGAAGAAGCCTTGCAGTTAGAAGGTTAAAGATCTATTTTCGCTGATCGTTAAACGTCCGCTTTCATTCGAGCGACTGTGACGATATACGCAACGACAATGTCATCGATCGAGCACGAAGGCAGCGCTATAATGTAGAGGAAGACGAAGTTTCAAGACCACTCACAGTCTTGAAAGGTGCGAGTGACTTTATAGATCTCTTTTTTTTTTCTTTATTCACATAGCTTCGAAGAAAGGTCATTTTTTTTACATAACCGTCGCCTTCGTAATCGGGACTATCGGTCTTATCATGCCGGTCCTCCCGTTGATATCACGTCATAATAAGGAAAACGTGCGCCAAAGTGGATGAGCCTTCGGGGGCCTGGTGAGTGCGCGAACAATCAGTCATTGTATACGACTTAGAAGGACCGACGAATAAACGCGTACGTCACGCTCGAGCACGTAAAAGCTTTATTTTCAGTTGCACAAAGATCCGGAATAAATTAATGAGTGCGTGGTGAATGATATTTAATTAAAAAAAAATCCCAAGACGCACGCACATGCGCCAACAGAGCGGTGATACAGAATTCTAGTCAAATCTGAAGACCGGATGGAAAGACGGAATAGAAGATTCTCCTCGCGACATACGTGGAAGATCGATAGTCAACGAACCCAGAGGTTTCGTTGATAACTCGTCACGCACATTCATCGTATTTTACTTTTGTCCGATAACTCATCGCGTAACTATTCGTAACGTAATACGTGACACAGCTCGAAGCGCTTTCAGGCACGTGTCCTTACTTCCACTTGCAGGGTACGTGTCGTACAATACGTTCTACACGCCGGTTTCGCGAATGGTTCACCGTGTGCCATAGAAGTCACCGACCAATTATCGCACAGTTCAGCACAGTCTCGTCCCTTCCTATCTGCAGCTGCAACACGCAGCAACGTCGGCTGTTTTAGATCAACGTTCGATTCAAGGGGGTAGTGAGAGCAACACTTTCGAAACAACGCACGGATACCAAGAGACGTCGGCCTCCGCCAATGAGCGTTTAATTAACCAGCGATGCTAATGCGTCACCGGAGAAAATCCATGCGGATTTCCGAGGAAATTTCTCGCACGACATGTATGTATATATAGGGGAAAAGGGAATGAGATAATGATTTGCTAATTTTTCTAAGCTAATAATAAATAACGAGTTGGTGCCCGGCTCATTAGAGGCGTGAATCTGTTTGACTTCAATCTGTCGACGACAGTAAATAATAAGTGTATTTTGGATATATATGTATATATAATTTTGTGCTTTCATAATGAATCGCATATTCATAGCAAATACTCTCTCTGCAGAACTACTATATAGTTGATTTAAAAACGTATATATCTAATAACGTGTTATTTTCCACTTCTCATAATTTCTTTTAATTAAATAGATAAATATAGTAACCATAAGGGGTAAGATTGGGATCGTGTCTAAACGGTTACATCTCCTTTCTTCGATTTCACCATTTGACTAATTAGGTTCCGGTACCTGAGACCTGTCAATTTCACTTTTGAGTCGTTACACAAGCCGGTTTACCAGAATAAGCACTCTGAGAATCGAAGAAAGAGTGTTTCTTATCGAGTATTGCTTCTGCTGTTCAGGCAAAAACTATATTATTAATTTCATCGATTCGCGATCTTCGTTAGTGGGAGTGTAAGAAAACAACAGTATCACGCACTTTTCACGGCGATTTTCGCACACTGCGCGCACAACGACGTTCGTCGCTCCGTTGAAATTATTGATCGGGCAGAGTGAGCTTTCGCGAGTGCCGACGAATCGGCCAGACCAACGAGTAGCTGCTGCTGCTGCTGCTGCTGTTGCTAGCTTTCGAAGGGAACATCTCTCGATTAATCCCGCGGATCATCGACGCGAGTCACGGATCCACACACGTATCCCGCTGCGTTAGCCCGACACGATATCCCATTTACTTATTTTGATTTGTACACGACGGGCAGAATTGTGCGAGGAGAAATTAATTCGCAGGAAAGAGAACTTCCGCGACGCTTAACAATCGTCTTTCCCACTATGAATGCGTCCAGTAACGCGAATAAAGCAGTCGACGAATAAACGGGAACATAACAAAGATAGCAGAAACGATACTTCATGTGATTCTGTTCGACAGTCGCGCACATAATTGCAAGTTGCCAAGTTCGAACAACAAGGGCACGTCAATCCCAACAATTTCGAAAAGTGAGGAGACACGGATCTCATTTGTACGTTATCGAGTGACGGCATAAGTCTCATCGTATCGCCTCTAATAACAACCAAATCGATCTACGTTGACAATGAACGGTGACCGATAAGTCGCGAAGACTAAATATTATTCCGTCGCGAATAACAGACGTTTATATTCGGGGATATTAAGAAGACACGTTGAGATAAGCAGTCGAAAGATCGATAATCACGCTTCACGTATGAAAAATATGACGGGACACGTTTGCCTAAATTATAGCGGACTCCGAGTTAACGAGCTCCAGGACACTAGAATTTAATATACATATATGCTGTAGTGCTTTATAAAAAGAGTATCATAGAATGTAAAATCTGAAAAATTTATTTTATCGAGAGAGGAGAGACTATCAGTGAAATATCAAGTCCGTTGTCATTCGTCTCGACACGATTTACTCGACAACGGGAGGAAATCACCAGTGATATGTAATCACTAAATGGACATGTGATTAACGACCACTACTGCGAAAAGTTCGTTGGAAATTCTTCGCACTCGAGATGCTCACCATTAATTGTAAATATGGTGATGTATATTGTAAGATACGTATAATTATGTAGTTAAAGTGTATTGTCACACCTGGAGAAATGTATGTTACATCAACTCGATCTTATAACGTGCGATTTTTTTGCGACTGTCTTTTGAGTAATTATATCGCAGATAATCATCATACTACATGATATAAAATACTATAATGTTAAAATATTGTTATACAGCAGTACACTGCAAAGTATATTGCAGTTGAGATAATTAAAAATGAAATTAAACTCACACGTAGACTTGTGATATAATTAAATGAGTGTTCAGATGATTTTTGTAAATTATGAATTTAAATGTTTCCTTATTAACCGTTTCTTCTATTTCACATGAACGGTAAGCTCCAAAACGAATCAATCTTTGACCATTATACCCGAGTGAATTAACAACCCACGACTATTGTAACTCAATTAACGCGCTTTCCTTTTTCTCTGCGTTTTGCATTGTATATCTTGTTTTATACAGAATAATACGGAAATGCTAGTATTGTTAAAGTGATAGATCATCCCAAAGTGTACATGACACAGTTTCGTAACCATGGATCGAACGCATGCTATTCTCGGATTATGAAATGACATTTGCATTCGAACGCTCGATCTTGATGTAAAAGCGATTGCTCACAGGAACTCTCTCCCTTCCTCCCTCTCTCTCTCTCCATGTCTCTTCCATTTCACTTTCAGATAATTCAAAACCAAAATTCAACGCCAGAATGAGAGATCTCGTCAATGAAACGATGATTCCGTCTTTCTCTATTGCACTTTTCTGTACTTTCTTCCTCCTCCTCTCCCCCTCTCTGCCTTCCCAAGAGAACCGACACTTGTCTCGTTTTCAGCGCAGAAACTAAAAGTGTCACAGAAAGAAAGAAAGAAAAGAACGTCTATTGGCATGAAATTCCGCGCAAGCAACCGATACGAAACACATGCACTTGTAAAGTGACATATAGCTCTGTCTCTTACTGCCTTTTATCGCTTTTCCTCTTTCCTGTCTCCTATCTTTCTAATTCCCTATCTACTTCTATTTTTAATGTAAACGCGTCGACGTGAAGCGTACGTCTCGAATCTTCTCTTCGTATTTCCGAAAATCGAATATGCATGAAACAGAAAACCTGTCCTCCTCCATTGTGCTTTCAACGCCTTCCTTACTGCCATATTTCCTTTGCTAATTGCTGAATACACACTCGAGAGTTGGGAGATGTAAGCGAAACTGGAAAAAAAGGACGACAGAATCTGTGATACGCGTTATTCACATTTGATCTTCACAATTCCCTTCTCTTTCACCCTCCGATCTGATTCTCTTTCGACTTGAAGAGCAAAAAACACGTCGAATAAAAAGCTACAAGACAGGACCTCTTGATTTTTTTCCTCAAAGGGCCGCGCATAATTACTGTTGTTCCTGTGATTATATATATATATATATATCTTCCAAAAGAACACATCTTTTTTTCAGAATGACACGTAAGAGTTCAAACGATGAAAAAGTTGACTCGCGCGGCGAGAGAAGCAGTTTACATCAGGCGAAGCGAAACCAAGCGAGTGACTCGCTCGCCTTTCTCAACGGGAAGCGGGCGGATGGAAAAGGTGAGCGACTCGCTCGCCGTTCGCTAACTTGCGATCTCGCTGCTTTCTTCGCGCTGTCACTCGCTCCGCCGTGCGACTACGGTCGCGCCGGTCTACGAACGAGGAATACGATCCTGCGCTCGGAAGGAATCTAAGGGTGCGAAACAGATTGAAACGTCCATTTCGCCCATCGATAAGCCCACGGCTGGACAATCAACTCCCGAGCCTAGTCCGGGAAATAAAGTCACGATCGCGAATCCCGGTGGCGAACTTCGATTTAAAACCGGGAGGTCGACGCGAAATCGACTGTCCAGCCATTGAGGGGGAAGCGTGACGACAGAGCGATAACGCTCATCGTACACACATGGGACACTTTCTTTCTTACTTACAGTCGAGATGCTTCTTCTTGGGCCCGATCATCTCCTCCGTCGTCGCCTTACAGACGGATTTCGCAAGGCCCTGGCCGGCGATGCTGTGTCTCGCGGCCAACAGCCTGTCGTTGATCGTCTGTCCCGCCATACTGTCTCGCTGTCAGTAGTAGCAGCCAACAGCAGTTACGTCCACAACGTCACGAATTCCCTCACGACAGGCGAGAGAACGCGAGAGAGAACGATCAAGAGAGAAAGTTTTAACCCTCGGTGCGCTCCGGCTCTCCGTGCACCGCGAACACGATGGACGACGCGCGAGAGAGCGGACGGTCGCGAGTCGGTCGGCCGACGAGAGCGAGCAAGGGACGACGGAGCGGTCACGGAGCACTGGTGGAACTTCGGCGCGTATATACGCGAGAGCAGCCACGACAGCACAGCACGACGCGAACAGCGGACGCGAGACGAGGCGCGAGGCGCCCGTGACGACGTACCGTTCTCTCCCCGATATTGCTCGACGACCGCTCTGTGCTTATCCGGCTACCTCCCTCCTCCTCCTCCTCTCCGCCACCGCCGGTTGCCGCGAATCCTACGCGATATAATCAACCGCCGGGCGGCTCGCGCTAACGGTGTCAACGGCTCAGCTGGGGACGGCACGACGACGGATCGCGGTTAGCGGCGGCAGCAGGCTCCTTCTGTCTGTCAAAATGGCGGCGCTCGCCCGACGGCGCTTCCCCTTCCCTTCGCGACCGCCAACACCGCGCGCCGAGCCGGCCAGGCGACCAATCGCCGGCACCCGCGATGACGTCACGCCAGTCGACGTGAGTCGACGCGACCAAGGTCCCCGGAGGAATAAACGCGAACGGATGCTCTTTCTCCTGGGACACCGCCTTCGGAAATCTTGAGTCGAATGACTCGATCCGTCCGTCGACCGCTATAACCCGCTCGATCGTCGATTGGAAGCGCGTTTTCACGTTCGTCAGGAGCTACCAACATCAGGCGCCTCTCCGGAACTCGAGGTTCTCGGAACATTTCACGTCTATCTCGGGCATCGAGGATTCCTTGCGAATTGTTCGTGGAACGATTCCCCGTCGCGTAAAGATATACGTCCGGGTCTTTTGCGATTCGACGTGGGATTTTCGACCGGGGGAAATTGGGAAATCTATCCTTTCCCTATGTCGTCTCGCGGTTTTCAGCGACTTCCGCTGAATACGCTGAATACGCCATCTACCATGGCTAACTGAAAACTACTATTGAAGATATCGCGTTTACCGATTGAAAACGCATGAAACTGTACCCGACTGTACAATACGCGCCAGTTTACATCGATCGTTTGATGCATGTGTTAAATGAAAGCATCCTGTTACTTTAATATTGACGACGCATATAAACGACGGTGTACTTGGTTGTATACAAACACACGTCGATCTAGATCTATAATACAGTGTAGATATTAGCCTTTTGCTTAAAGTGTGAAATTGTAACTTTGCGATTTCTAGCGGAAAGCTTTTCCAGCAGACGTTGCAGTCTTTAAGATTTCAGTGTTATCGACTTTGACAGCGCGGATAACGCGTTCTGTCAGAAATTTCGTTACACCTTATTAATTAAAGCAGATGGCTAAAATTACACCTATCCGCCGTGCTCTACTAAATTCGTTTACACGAGCCTCGTCCGAAGACTTCTCATGGACGTGCACCACAAATGCGCCGAGAGTCGGCCAATCGCGCATTCTTAAGCTGAAAGGCGTAATGACATATTTGAAATCAGGCGGACGCGATTGGTCGACTTTTTCATGCACGCACATTATGCAAATCCATCTTTGGATTGGATCTTTATGGCTGTCAACAACATGTCGTCGCTGCGGACGGAAGCTAACAAGCTCGATCGAGCGCGCGGCTTGTTCGCCCATTACCGACACGATCCAGACGCGCCGGCGCTGGAATTGCTTGACTGGAGCGCCAACGTTCGCGAACGATATCGCGCGTTCGGACTGCGCGGATTCAGTCGGGTTCAGTGTGCCGTTTCAGTAGCAGCTGTTGCCGTTTGTCTCTCGTCGGCCACTCTCTCGCATTCTGCGTGAATCCGGATTCCCATCGTTCGCCTCCTACCTCGTCTACTTACCGGGACGCGTTCTCGACGAGCGTCTCAAGATTTTGCGACTTACGCTCGCTGCGATCAGAAGGCTGACGACGATGGTCGACAAGCAGGAAGCAAGGAAGCGGCTAACGCCGCTTCAATGGCATGTGACGCAGGAAAAGGGCACAGAGAGGTGAGGCGTAATAAAGGCGCCAACTCGAATTGGCTCGATGATCGACACCGCGGCATTATTCATTCTCTCTCTCTCTCTCTCTCAAGCTTAATTGTTCAGTTTGCCTCGTTCACAATTCACTACGTCCGTTCATGATCCTTGCGACGACCGTCGCCGCAATGACTTTTTCGCGCGTCACAGCAAATTGACTCAAACGGAATTCTCTAGTCGGTCTCGATCTTCGACTTGATCCATCTCGATACGTGCTTTCGATATCTGAAATGTTTTGAAAGCAATTCCCATATTGAGGTTTCTAGCGATGAAAAGGGTGTTTATTGCGGCGAACAAGATAAACACGTTGCGGTTGACGTTCCCATTGCAACGCTGATGATGTTGCAACACTTGGCCAAAGCCGTAACAATGGCCGTGTTCAACAGAACGTTTAATTCGCAACTGTTGGAAGTTTTCTGAGCTGAACTTCGATTATTCTTTTAGATCTACAGGAATAATCTAATGTCAGCACAGAAAACTTCCAACAGTTGCGAATTAAACGTTCTGTTGAACACGGCCAATATTGCCTAACTGTGATAACACAGGACGTTGAATATTCTAATTTTATCGATGACACGAACAGAGGTCGTTCGTTATGCTCTATATTTACTCAATCCGTCGTCTGACTTATATCTAGGTGACCCGTTCGCGCGTGGAATGCTCTGTTCAAACATTAACTATTTGTTTTGAAATGTTAAGGAAGTTGCGAGAGTGAGCTTGGTAAAAATCCAGTTGCGAAAGTGAACATGATAAAACTTGTATCACACAGTGAACTTTGTTACTTCTGTGAACTTTGTTACTGCTACAAGTGAAACTTCTATATACCGAATTATATATTATCTGTCGAGTAATATTTATTTGACTACTCGTGCAATTAAAGAAAGATTGATTCCATTCCAGAGTTGAGATACTTGCATCTGAAGAAACTTTTTATATCTTGAGATCAACGTGCTAATTTTAATTTCTACTTTTATCTTCTAATCCAAAAACGAGATTTTGATGAAAATTTAACACTATGATATTAAAGACTAATATGCCGACATACAGAAATTGCAGAATTATTGATTATTTTGTTTTGAAAATTCGACAGTGAAAAGGTCATACTTTATAACAATACTCGAAATATATCAAAACACACGCCTCTTTCTATTACATTTCTGTACATTTATACTGATACTGAGCCTTACAACCTCCTTACAAAAATCTACATTCGTATATTCATCTGGTCTTTCTCTCTCTCTCTCTCACTGTAAAAATTAGCATTATTTCTCTATCTTTTCATAACTTATATGTATTAATTTATCCTTCGGATATCGATATGAGAATTGCACTTCAGCAAAAATCTGGAATTCATTCATTTCAGACAATTAGAAACAATTTTATTTTAACATCTCAATTTTAGCCGCGCTCGATTGCAAACGAATTATATACGATACAAATCCCGCGCGATTTAATCTTAGACGAAGAGCACTAAAATAACTTTTTCAAGAGCGTATAGCAACCTGGTTTTAAACTGCCTCATGGTCAGTGTGTTTAAAAATAAACTATGTGTGTCATTGAGAATTTACCGTCCTCCCCTCACCAACACCTCAAATTCATTCGACCTTTTATTCGACACAGGCCATTCACCGGCTGCTACGATAAGTTTTACGAAAAAGGAATGTACACCTGCATCGTGTGCGATCAAGAATTGTTTTCCTCGGATACGAAATACGACAGTGGATGTGGTTGGCCTGCATTCAACGAAGTTTTAGACCAGGGACGCGTTAAACTTACCAAAGACACTTCTCACGGTAAGCAAACAAATATGCTCTCAATTATTATATATCTTTTGTGATTACGCTCGAATGGTACTATCTCATTCTCTTATTTTATATTATCAAAATATCCCACAATCCTCTATAGCACGCACTTTAACATCAGCACATTAATCCTTGATAGTATGCAGGTATAATGTAGAATTACACTGTGAAAGACATCGCGCAACAGCATAAAAGTTTACAAAATGACTGTGAAAGACATCGCGCAACAGCATAAAAGTTTGTTGAATCAATTTTATAACAATGTACCTGCTTACTATTTTCAGAACATTATATATATATATATATATCAGTATTGCAAAATTATAAAAAGAAAATCATAATTGTGTCACATCAGTCAAAAAGTTCGGTTCAATTTTCACAGTTTGACAGGTCGGTCACTTTCTATGATAGAAGTGTATATAAATACTGCTAAAACGTTGGCAAAGGATCATATATGACAATGGTCATTACTTAATTGATGAATCATTTGTTATTAAATATCTTTCAAATGCATTGAAGTCAAATTGATAATTTTTTTCATTGAAAAATCAAACTGAACTTTTAGTCGATAATGATTTTACCTGTCTCTTTTATTTATCTCGTCGTAATATTGATCATTAATTAATCTGAAAATCTCTTTTTCTTTCTTTACTTGTATATAAGTGTTTGAGGCTATATTTTAATCTTTTTGTAAGAATTCTCATGAAAAAAACAGGGGTTTTCTTTCGTAAACTTGCTTACATAGAGCTTTACGTAGTACGTAGTATAATGTAACATATATTGACACTCCCTATTCTTCCCTGCATGTACTCGCTTAGAGTGTGATTATGTTAGACTTCTATCACCTTTTATATTAAACTAATATTGCTGATTGTACATCATGAAACACCTATTAAAAATATGACCAGATGGGCAAGAATATTTCAAACGTTCAGAGGAGAAATTTTCAGTAATCGTTCAATCGAGACGTAGAGCTTAAATTCTTGCCAAGTGGTCGAGAATCGCCGAATAATCTTTCTTTTTTTCATTAGATTTCTTCACTAAATAAAAATTCCTAATATATAGGTATTGCTTTCTGCACATATCCGCGATACAAACTAAATTTCGCTGTTTTTTTTCATTGCTGTTGTTGATTATTATGGCGGTTGAGATAAGAATAACGTTACTAAATTGTTTGCGAGTGTATTTTGTAACTAGAGATCATAGTGTCGTATTAAAAGATGTTGCAATACGTCTCAGCAAAATAAGATTATACGGTAAACAACTGATATAAAAAGATTTATTTATGTGTTATTTTGTACAGAAAAAAGTGCGATAGTTGCGAGCAATGTTAGACATAACGTAGAGATAACGATTAACAACGGGAGCGACATCGTGTGTGTATGTATGTGTAAAGATGTAGGAATAGAGTAAAATAGTTTCATATGTACAAATCTTCCTGTTGTTCTTCTTGCTGATATCGTATTTAGTCCTTTATTATTTGATTTCTCACTTGATTGGATTTCTGTTCTATAAGTTCGGTCCTTCCGAAGATCTTAGTAGAGGGCTTGTATTAGCGATAATAAAAAGTCATTTTGTAAGATGTACTATGAGAAGAAACATGTCTAATCATCACACTCTATTGTTCTTTCCTTCCGCGCCCTCCTTTGCCTGCACTCCGCTACTACTACCACCAACCACTCTTCACTTTCACCACTGAAAAAAACACCAATGAACAAAAATCGCGTCGCAAAATACGACGCGTACAGTTGGCGGCAATCTACTACTGCTGATCGCAAACCCAGATATGGTGTGGACCGAGGTGACCTGTTCGAAATGCGACTCACACTTGGGGCACGTGTTCAACGACGGGCCGAAACCTACAGGGAAGCGCTTCTGCATCAATTCCGCCTCGATAAGCTTCCATCCGGCGGGAGAGGAGAAAAAGTCGACGCAATGAACTATCATTATTTTTCCCCACTGTTGCATTACATACATATATGTACAAGGAAATTGTTATAGAAATAATGAAATGTTTTACTTGGGCGTTATAAAGTCAGAATAACGATTGTTGCCACTGAGAGATATTCAGTGAAGTAAGCAAAGTCTGCCATTACGGAGGGAGAGAGAGAATGAAAGAGAGGGAAAATGTCATCCCTGACGTGCGATGTATGATGTGAATACTATCGTTGCTAACAAAAGTTTCTCTCTGCGTCAAGCTCCCTCCCCCTCCTCTCTCTCTCTCTCCACCTTTCGCGTGCATACGTTTATGTTCATTTAATTTACTATAGCGTTTAACCGTATTGTAAACAATGTATATGGCTTGTACATGATAATACAGCAAATAAGAGGGCTGAAACGTGAGTGATAATTATCATTCCGCAATCCTCTTAATCCGCTAAACAGGAAGGACAATTCATATGAAAGAAAGGATTTTTTTTGTTATAAAATGTTTCCTTATATTGTAACGTTCCAAAACAAACTGAAAGGTGTTATAATACAATATATACGTAAAGTTCTAGGCATTATTTTTACAATTCATTACTCCCATTTTTGTTTCACGTACCTTCGCTTTGAAATTTATCGTCATGCGCGGTAAAGTATTACATGTTTCCTGAGAGACCAAATTTTCATCGAATGATACGCAAAAGCGACAAGCGCGTTTCTCTTATAAAAGTTAAAGCCGGATGAACCTTCGTCTCTCACGAAAGGTCGAAGAATCGAAGTTTTCACAATCTTTGTAAATAAAATAGCAACTTTATTACTAGGCCTACTTCTTTCATTCGAAGAGAGATCACAAAGCATTTTCAAAAACATCGTCAAAAACACTACAGCAAAAAAACATGCATACACACATACTTAACATGATTTGTATCGGGGATCTATTTTTAAGAAACTTAAAAATGACGATAACACGCGCGATAGTTTATACGAGCACGAGTTAAATGCGACTGGAACGACTATAAAAGACATGATTGCGCAAACGGATGCAAAATTGCCCGCATCTCCTCCCTCCTCCTCCTCCCCCTTTCCCACTTCCTTCTCGTCTCTTTTTCTTTTTCTTTTTTATTGAAAAATTCTCACTTGCTTTCGTTCTCTCTCGGAGCTCTCATATACTCGTTTGCTATATACGCGTTGCACGATTCGCTTGTTAATGTCAAAAATAATAAGTACTTTCGTATGCATCACTTATTATTATTATTACGATAAGGCATGTTTGGTACAATTTTTTGTACTTTTGTTTACGCGACAGAGGATCAACTTGTTGCTCATCGTCCGGTTCGGTGCGGATCAGCGCGAATACGTCTACACGCTAACTAACTAACGTGCTTTTCAATCGGAGATGCGTATCGATCTTTCACGCGGGCAATTTTGCATCTCGCGTCTGCAATTCGATTTGATAAATAAGAAAACTATTTAATAGCTGCTAAATAGTGCTGGTAATACGGTGCCGCAAAGAAACATAACATAAAAATAACAGGGGACATATGTCGCTTCTTCGAGATATTTGTGAAAATGCAGGACCTCGCTTTAATAATGCTCCTATGACCGCTCAAATGTCAATCTTAACCCTGGATTAAGCACTATTCTGTGCTTGTATTTTTTTCTATTTTTTTTTCTTTTTTTTCTTTACTGAATTATACTCATTGGACTCTATCCTGGTTGGAACGGAAGCACTGGTTGAGTTAAGCTCGCCAGCCGTATCTCTTGCTTCATTACACACACACACACACGCACACACACACACACCCACACACGCCGAAAGTAAAATATGATTACTCCCTGGGTGAATTATCTCAAAAGAGAATCGAAATAACATGAGATAATGGTTTCTCACTGGTTGCGCAGATGATGCGAACGTTCAACATTATATATTTGTTATATAACGTGTATAACATACTAAGAAAAAATTCAATTGTCAAAAAATTTTTCTGAATAAAAGGATATATCGATATATCCCTTTTATTCTTTACATGCTCTTCATATAAGCGCGTATAAAAATTTTAAAACCAAGATTAATATCGCAATAAAGTAATTAACTTACCGAGAATATATTACAAAACTCTAAATCTACTCGTCGTATTATCTCTTTCGTGTTTTATTACAGTCAAATTGAGTCAAAACTTACCGTCTGACAAGTTAATAAAAAGTAAAAAAAAAGTCTATTAGAAAAGGTACAAAGGTGTCCGGTATCATAGCCGTTCCAATTAGGATAGAATTCAATTATCGTACCTTTTCTTTGCTAATACTAAGACGTGCGCACGTTACTTTGTCCTTAATGTCTCTTAAAATGTCAACTTACATAATCCGACCGGATTCGGAGACCGGAACGTCGAAACGAATTAATAGGCAGATAGTGTTTGTATAGAATCAACCGACAAACACGAATCTCATTGATTTATTCTACGAGAGTCAACTGATAAATAATCAAAATACTGTATCAAGAAAGTATAACTATCGTTACATCAACTTGATATTTTGCGGTAAATTTCTGCCAATTTTTTCCACAAGAAACCGCAAACATCGGATAACACATCCTCGTTCATCCCTGGCACAATCTACTGATGATCAGCTATAGCTGTCCTGATTTTTTGAAGGTAAATAACAATAATTCTTTCGGCATTCCGGCCCTAAATTCGGTCGTAAGCATTGATACAAATCTGAGCTGTTCTCTCTCTCTCTCTCTCTCTCTCTCTCTCTCTCTCTTTCTCTCTCTCTATCAATCGAGTACAATCAGACATTATAAAAATCTAATCAGGCTTTTCTCCAAAGATGATACAACGAAAAAATGAGAAAAGAAGAAAAATAAACTCATTATTGAATAGAGCGAGTACATTTGATCATATATGACTTTTCGTTATCAAATTTTACATGTATATTACAGGATGTTTCAAATAAGAAAATACATGAAGAATATCTTGTAAACGACACATCTCCAAAAACAAAAATGTTTCAAACCAAAGTTATATATAAATTCAAAAGAGAAATAGTAAAAAATATCTGTGATATCTAGAGTGTGTTTTTTCTGCCAAGACCATGTTAAGGACTTGTGAATTTCTTATTAGAAATCGTCGTTTTTACTGTAAATTCTTATAGTTAATGCTGAAAAGTTTTCAAAATAATATAATTAATAATCCACTTCCATATAGTGTATCTGGGTTAATGCCAATACCGCCATGTTCTTCCACACAGCTCAGAGGGTTGTTAATGAAAAAGGGTTTAAAATTAAAATGTGTCATTTTCAGGATACTTTTATGTAATCTTTTATTTGGAACAGCCCGTACATGTGTGTGTATACACACAATGCACACACATACAGGCTCCTTTTTTTTTCTTCTCGTTTCACGTATGCAATGTAAGTGTATTAATTTTTCTCGGTTTATAACTATCGTATTTATTCTCACATGTGATTTCAGTTAATATTAATTTATATACGAGTTTTATACATATATATATATATATGTATATATATATATGTAATGAAAAAACTCCTTCGACCGAACAGCCACCCGCGAGACGCGAAGATTGAAACATCGAGATTGTTTATGCTATGTCATTTGCGATTTTTCGGAATTCGAGAGGAAAAAGAAGAAAACCCGATATATCCAGCGCATCATCCAGAACGCTAGAATATTCGCTCTCAACTCGGTAGAAAAGTTCCAACTTTCTTCTTTGACTGTCGAGTCGGAAGTTGACGCGAGTAGCTCTCTCTCTCTCTCTCTCTCTCTCTCTCTCTCTCTCTCTCTCTCTCTATTTTGAAACACATTTGTTAGTGCGTGCCGCGGATGACCCGGTCGAATACAATGGCGCGTACAAAAATGAAGAAAAGAAAAATGATACGTATCTATAAGAGTTCAATATATCACCTAAGTAACTAAATACTTCCAAGGTATCCACCTCAATGTCACGATGCTTGGATGATATATAATTGTATATAATACAATTAGGAAAGACGTATTTCGAGTAATGTTCGATGCGAATACAACCATAATAATAATACATGGAAACTTCGTTCTACACATAAATCGTTAACTCAAGTCTCCCCCACGTAGTTTGTTTATTTTTTTTTCTTTTCTTCCTCACGGTGCTAAAACGAAGATATTACATATCGTAACGATGGTTCAAAGTCATAAGAAATCTAGCGCGAGTTTTATTTCTTTTTCACGTCTCTAAACGACAAGACAGGCACTTTATAGTGTCACAAAATGCTCCTACGTCTGAACTTTATTCAAAGTTTTATCGATCGTCCATTCGTTCATTCATTCTGTTTTACATTGTCCCCCCCCTCCCTTGTTCTGCACAAGACACGTTAAAGACAGTTGCGTTGGACTTACAGCGAAGAACACACATGACTGGAGGCAAGCATTGCCCTTGGGAAAGGATATTCTTATTAACTAAGTAGTAATAAACATCTTCGTAATAAGTTTGACGTAATAAGTCCTAACGTGTCTCTCTCTCTCTCTCTCTCTTTTTTTCTATTTTTTGCTTTCTAACTGCGCAAATGAGAAAAAGTACTCGTCTTTTCATCATGAAAATCTAAATCAGTGTCTTCAAACAAAAACAGAATCGGCTGGATGCATGTGTGTGCATGTGAATAAATCTCTCCAAAATCGGTTGTCCATGTAATGTCGAAGTATCATCCGATAGTTTGTACGCTAGGAATCAACCAAGACAGTCAATATGCTCGGAAAGGAACGTAATATAATAACGAATAAGAAATACTCGGCGGTCGGGACGCGATTCTTAAGAACGTTTAAAACAAGTTAGGCTACTGCTTACTACACGTCTATCGTCGCTCTCACAGACTGAAACACCGAAAACATATTGCTCCGCGCTCTCTCTCTCTCTCTCTCTCTCTCTCTCTCTCTCTCTCTCTCTCCGCAACCTTCTTCAAAAAATATCAGTCCGATACGAATTTCTTTTTCTCTGTCCGCGATTTCTCGTTAAACACAATAAATGTATTAGAATAGGTTCTATGTACTTGTTCACATTTGTTTGTGGTATTATCTAGTAAAATTTTCGCTATAAATAATATGCGTCTGTTTCTAGTCTCCACGATCTTTCAGTTTTCCATTTTTTCCCTCATCCTTTCCTCTTTCTTTTAAGAGTTAATAATACTAGTTTTATATTTTTAGAAAATAACTGACAATCGCCTGTGTTTCCTCGATGACAATCCAAAATTGCGGCAAGAGCTCGTCAGGCTACAGCACACACACGGCAAAGTACGATATAAGTAAAGTACGATTTCCCCTTCCCTTTCTTTTACTTCTCTCGAAGACCAAACAATTAAGACTTCATTGAGTCTATTGCACTCAATTGTAATTGTGGACTTATCGAGGAAAACAAGGTTTTCTGCCGTCAGATCGCTCGTAGCGATCTGATTTAACTCTGATTTAACTTTGTTCGCTCGCAACATGCGAGAATCGAGCATTTTTAAAAACTTTGCAACTCGCTTCTCGATACTTCGTAACGGTATCGAATAAGTTTTATATCTACCTATGACTTCTCTCTCTCTCTCTCTCTCTCTCTCTCTCTCTCTCTCTCTTTCTCTCTCTCTCTCTCTTTCTATGCGTACGTAATTTATATATGCATCCGTTTGTGTACACGATATTACATAGGACGCGCACAATATGTATCCACATACAATATACACACACGTATGCATACGAACATATTATATGCATATGCATATACATATGCATCATCTATATGTGCATATATATATATATGCATATGTACATACATTCATTCATTTATATATGTTTATTCATTATTTGTTATATATTATTAAATTATTGTGCCGTTTCCGTTTTGGGAGGGTGATTTCTTTTTCCATTTTTTTTTTCTTTTTTCATCGCTCACATAACCATTCTTACAGTCATATTTTACGACTATAACCTAACACACCACTGTCTTTTATTAATTACCTTTAGCAGCGTCCTTCGCCGCCATTATCAAAGGTGTTAACGAAGCCAGTGGCCTGGCTAAACCCAGAAAAGCATGCTGCAATTCAATTTAAACACGTATTTCCAATTAATCTTGGAACACACGCGGAAGAGGCATACATACGCATCACGATTCCTCTTGTATAACAAGAACAGTATATCTCATATATATCTCTTACCTGTAATAGGTCGGAAGCTCCAGATCGTTTCTCTACCTCAACCTCTAGACACCGATCTAGGAAATCTTGAAACAAAGGTGACAACTTTTCCTTCTCCTTGATTTCCGGCTTGCCGTTCGTCGCGATCAAGTACAGAGCTCTCAGCGGATTCTCATTCAGATACGGCGGTTCTCCTTCTATCATTTCAATTGCCATTATTCCCAACGACCATATATCGACCTGCAGAGTTGCCCGCGTAATTTGTGACAATTAATCGTTAACGGTGGACGTGGGCGTACCACTTCTCGACATGCAGGCTTTGCATTCAATGCGACTTACCTTAGGCCCATATTGTTTACGCGTTACCACCTCCGGCGCCATCCAGTACGGCGTGCCGACCATCGTCGTTCGTTTGTTCTGTTCCGGCGAGATTTGCGCGCAAAAGCCGAAATCCGTCAGTTTCACACCGCCATCCAAACCGAGCAAGATATTATCAGACTTGATATCCCTGTGTATAACCTGATTACAGTGAAGGAACTCCAGCGCCTGCAAAACTTCCCTACACACCGCGGCAATTTGACCTTCGTCCATACACGTCTCAGTCACAACATCGGTCAAGCTGCCACCCGGCAAATATTCCATGACTACCCATAGTTCTTCCCCTACTAAGTAACTATCCAAGTAATTTACAACATTCGGATGCTTGTTCTCCCGCATCACCAGGATCTCGTTTATTATAAGCTCTTTTTTCGGTTGTTGCGACAGATTCATTTGTTTTATCGCAACCTCCATGCCGGTGGACGTTTCTATTGCCGTGTACACCGTCCCCGAGGCACTGCAATGTCAATCGATACGATCACGCATATGATGAAAGTGCGAAGAACATACTGAAATCACATCACGGTTCCAGTTCCGCTTTCTATCTTACCCTTGTCCTATCTTCTCCATTTTAGTGTATTTTCTATTAGGATCCCCTACGCTCACGATTGTTCTAAGCTTCTCTAATATCTCGTCGTCCGACATCTTCTTCTTCCTAGCCTTATCGCCTTGCGCCGGTCGCGTCTGATCGGTCGTCGTTGACGTTGGTGTCGCTTGATTCTTATTTCTATCTAACTGAGACTGGTGTTGCTGTTGTTGTTGTTGTTGCTGTTGCTGTTGTTGTTGTTGCTGCTGCTGCTGCTGCATGCCATTTCGTTGCGGTGAGCCCAACGCTGTAGTTGTCAACGGGGGCGGTGGTTCCTCTTCTATGGGTTTCGTGTACTGTACAGAGCGAAAAGATGAAGTATCACAGCAACATTAATCATCTACAATGCCACAGATACGGTCTAAGAAAAGCACTTACAATTGACTTCGTGCGTTCCGGTCGAGCGGAGATCGGCGGAGGCGGCGGCTCGTCTTCCTGCTCGGAACTGGTCGCACACGCGTCCGTCGGTGTGCTACTCGGACTACTGCTACTCAGTCTGTAACGTTGTCGTTTCTCAGAAAATATTTAGACAACGGGGGGTAAAGACGATGCGATAAAAGTGTAAAAAACTCACCTGCTCAACGACTGCTGAGAATGTGAGCTACCAGACGCTTGGGACATTGCTTGTCCGCGAATGTTACCACCCACCCCCGTGTTGATACCTATTCCCATACTTCGAGGACTACTCGCCCTTTCGATTGGAGCTGAAAATGTAACATGATTTCATCGTGTTAATGTGTGAGACGATGATAGTGAATAAATGTTGCATATGTGTGCACAACTGGCTCAATACTCACCGACCACCCCGACCATCTTGGTTGTGGTCATGTATTTGGAGCCTTTCGCTTCTTTACTGCTACTATCGTACCAATTTAATACATCCAAAACAGCTTGCGGATTCTTCTTTTGTTCTTGCTTACTGATATTGCTGGACATAAGCAGTCTCGCCCACGCTTCCGGCATACCCTACGAAAGAAATCGGGCACCGTGAAGCAACATGCGTTATCGCGCGAAACAAACTAGTGGTAAATAATTAGGAGTTTCTATCAAGTATAACGCTAGTGTGCGTCTAAAGTGCACTTATTGTTATCAATTCTAGAATTTAAGGCATGCAATTGTAGAAGAATAAAAATTGGGAAACATATCAGAGTCATACATCTGTATAAATGCTGGTAGATTTTAATCGTGACATAATTAAATCTATACTTATCAATCGTTTTGGAACATGTTTAGAAATCAAAACAATTGTGTTTGGTGTAGTCGTCTTCTATTGTTATTTTATACACATAACGTGTGACATACGGGGCAAAATAAAAACAAACGAATAGATTGATTAGAACGAATATATACACATATATATATATGTATGTATATATTCTCTTTTGTAATACAATTTTTTAATATAGAGTGGACAATTGAGAAGATTTAATGAAGTCACAATTTCTATAAAAAGATTATTTAGATACATGCACAATGCCAGTTTTGCGTTAATAAACATTTTTTTAATACGATATTGCGCAAAATTTCACCAATTTAAATAACCTATTGATATTGTCGGAAATTATTCTGTAAGAAAAAAAAAAGAAATTGTATGCAACGTCGACTAAAGCTTATATCAATCCACAAAAGCGACCACAACCTATGTATTATAGTAGACTCTCTAACGTTGGTATTTCAACGGAAAATAGACACTTAGATCTTGTAAACCGCAACGGAAAGAAAGTGTCAAACCACGTGGTGTATGTACAACGTAAAATACAGGCAAACTAACTCGTATTAATTTACTTACTTTCAGTGGCAGCTTGAAAGAAATACGTGTTTTGTTAGTTTATCATGTGAAAATAATAGACATAAGAAGCGTCGGACAAATCACCAAATTACCAAAATACCCTTTCTTAAAATATCTATATCTATAAATATAGATATAGATGTCACGCATATATATATATACACATATGCATGAATAAGTGTCCTATAGTCCATTTTGATTAGGTACGGAGGATCCATGTGAACCATACGAGAACGTACGTGACGATGCAATAAAATAGCTACGACATTGGACCACCAAGAGTATGATAATGCTTGTATTTCTCCCCATCTCTCCCATAGATACTCCGCACCGTGATACAACAGCAAAGCGGTAAGCGAGTGCATTTTGAACAATATAGTGTAGAGAGAGGCAACTGTGACTGTGTGCGAGTCCGAGAGTCGCGCGAAAACCTACCGTAAATTCACCGGTTACAGCGTCAAATCCCACGTGAACGGTGTGCTCGAAATTCGTGGGGTAACTGATATTGGGCTTGTCCTTGTTCTCCTTCACCTTCATCTTGCCCTTCAACGTCTTTTTCTTACGTTCATCAGAGTCTGGTTCTTTAGGCAGTGGACGCATGTCCACTGGTAAATTAGGCGCAGATTCACCCCTGAAAACATAATCACATGATCACTAACAAAAATTGAACAATCCATCATTACACAATCATTACGTACATGTGCAATGCATTATAGGTATGCACAGTGAATTCACGGTGTATTTTGCATTGTACTGTTCGATTTATATTGTTCGATATCATATTGCATTGAGAAGAACGATATTTATTACGGAAAAGAAATTGTCGATACTTTTGCTATCATGAGCAATATAAAGTAAACAAACCAACGTAACATCAAGTTCTGTGTATGTGTAGATATGTATAGAAACTATTCCGTTTAGACTTTCAAATCTGACAAGATTGGAATTATATTTAGATGTTTCAGATAATATTCTTCTACTGTGATAAAGCAGTCATCAAAAGGTCTACACTAAGAGATTTTAGCAATCACTAACTTAATATCTCTTTAACTTGGGAGAATATTCCTGTATACATAAAAAGCAATGCACATGAAACTTGCGGCCGTATTATAGAATTATTACGTATATACTTACACATTAATTCTATCTATGTAAATTTATGATACTTATGCAAGCACTTTTAAATGGCATCAATTTTATTACATATTATACATTACACTAATATCTGGAACAATTATATCTATAAGCAGATAGATTTTTCACGAATGAATAAAAACCTACGAAGCAATTATACAATATATTGTATGCAGGTATGCATTGGTAATTTTTAAAAGGATGAGCGCAAGACCAGGTAGTGCTTCGCAAGATCTACTTTCACTTCTACGAATCACTTACAAGATAAGTTGTAGATTTGTACCAGATAACAATATGAATTGTACCTGTTTGACGTCAATCGTACAGGAGGTGCAGGGGGTTTGTCTTCCTCATCTGACATGTTGTATCTGCTTCTGTTCCTTTGTTGCCAGTCTATCCTCCGTTGCTGCGTCTCTGTGCCTTCAAATCGAATCCACGTTTCGTGTCAACGAGCGTATATATATATCTATATTTATACACGCTTCGTCGTCACGATTTTCACTTTCAGCTGCATGAGAAAATTTCCTTACGAAGAAATACGAGGTTGAAGTCGGCGAGCTGTGGCGACGACGACAGTAACAACGACGGCAACAACGACGACGGAGACTACGATGATGACGGCGTTGCTCACGAGTTTCCAATTCCGGTAATACCCACGAATTCGTCGAAAGGCACACCCGGCAAGATAAGTAAGTAGGTAGATAGCGGCGGAGGTCCCCTCACCGCGCCGTAAGGACACCGCTCATCAGAAAATCCCCGGTACCGGCTGTGGTGCGCGAACCTGAACGAACGGAGTCATGGCCGACCGAGCGGGTATCGGCGATTAGAGCGTAGGAATCGGAGCGACTTCGAGGCTCCCTCGTGGGTGTCGCTTCCCTTCCGGCGCCAAGAGACGCTGCTCGCTACTTTTCTCGCTCGATCACCGGGGTGGTTGGCTGTTCGCCGTCGGCGGCGTCCAGCGACGACACACGGGTCAATGTCGCGGTGGGCACACTGGGGCGCATTCGAGGACGGCGAGGAGAGAGCGTTTCTGAAGCGTGATTCACGCACGGGTGCAGGCACCCCGTCGCATCCTCGAATCTTTCGCCTCGTCCTCCCTCTCTCCCTCCCTCTCTCTCACTTTTTCTTTTCACTCTCTTTCTCTCTCCCTCTCTGTCACTCGCCCGCGCTTGCGTGCGCTCATAGCTTTCTCTCGTGTCCTCTCACTCACTAAGCTCACTCACTCACTCACTCACTTCTATACTCTCTCGACGTCGCGCCGACTATAATCGCGCTTCTCATCGCGCGCTCCCGCGCACTTACCAGACTTACTCTCGCACTCGCGAGCGAAAAAGTGCGTGCAACCCACGCGATACACACAACGACGGAACATATATAGCGCCCAGTGGCGGATTTAGATCCATCGCGACCCTACGGTGCAACACGAGCGGCGTGCCGCTCCCATTCTCCGTGATGTGACAGTTGGAAAAGTATTCCTTTCTCTTAAGGCGAAGCCCTGCGGACTCCGGCTTACTTTGCACATATATACATGTACGTAATTCAGCTTCGGTGTACAGCCGATTCACATGCGTGATATTTCCGCTTTTTTATTCTTCCGGTACACTCTGGTATCATCCCTTCTTCTTCTATCTCCTACTCCTTTTCTTTCCTTTTTTTTCACCTCCTCTCTTCTCGATTACTATCTCCCTGCTGTCCCGAGGTTCTCTACAGTTCAGTCGGAAAAGCAGGAGATGCGACGACAGCTCTCGGTCGTCGCCGTTCTTTCAACGTTCCTCACATCTGATCTGATTAACGCCGCGCTCGATCAATCAGACGTCAATCCTCATCGTGATCGCGCGGACATCACTCACGGAGAGAGATAGTCGCGGTGACGACGTCGATAACAGGACGAAACATACCCGCTTGTCTGGCGACTTTTTCTTTCTTTTTTTATCCATCCACGCGTTCTGGTAAGAAAGTTCGCTGTCACGTCGTCCTCCGCCACCACCGGTATGCTTCTTCGCGAAATGAGAGTGCGCTAATCTTTCGCCTATGATCATTTTGTCTTTTCAGTCGAAATTGTCAATTACGGTTTCTGTGCTGAAAATAGCTACGCATTTAAGATTTGATGGAAGAGAGAGGAAGAAAAATTATGAGATAATAAGCTTCATCAGAGTTTTCGCATACAATTGTAACAAATGTAAACGATTAAACTGATGAACCAATTGGGATATTGTTTCAAGTTTGAATGCAAACCGCCATTGGATAGCTTGGATATTACTATGCCTAGGGTCACCAGAAGTTTTTGATCACACACATCGTATCTATATATTCATATATCATGATTGTTTCCATTATTTAAAAAGATATAAACAATGCTTCATATACTTCTTTTTTATATTAATTTTATATTTTGCGTTACAAACGCTTAACCTGCATAATATTTTAACATAATTACTTTTTTTTGTTTTCGAATAATCTATAATCATTGGTTTGTTCTTTATAGCTGAACTGGCTTCTCTAGTTCAATTTTTCTGGGGGAAAACCCTATTTCCCTATGTATCGATACTTTATCACCCGACATTAAAGCCCGTATCAGATTACGGATTGGAGATTGAGATTTAATTGAAAATTGACCAATCGGTGCAAAGCTCACTAAATTTCACTAAACCTGAGTTCAGTTAACTTTGTACTGATTAGCCAATTCAATTCAGTCTTAATCCCCAATCCATTGTCTGATGCGGACTTAATGTACAGTGCTGTAGTGATTAGCGGAACGCTGCCCGAATCGGGTCGAGTCAACAAATCAACAACGTCATAATAATTACGAATAATTCAAGAATCAAGCCTCTGTGTAGACAAGATGCGTATGACCGAACAATTCTGGTGACCCTAGTATCTCTATTATGTCGGCAGCGAATTACGTTTTATTGACACCGGGATACATGAATATATGAAATATATACGGGAATTTACCTAGAGCTGATAGTCTTTATTTTTACCTCGTCGATGTTTATAGTGGTTGATCAACCACTGTACGAGTCACGCGTGTTATTTCATGTTATTCTTCAGCTTTGTCACGTCCTTGTGCAATTACCATAACGATGAGACTTATGGTAAACAGCTTTAGATGTTAAATTTAGTCTCTGTTACAAAGAATCATTGGTTAATAAAATAAATATAACGTAAGTATCACTATATATCTGTATAATAGCATTGCATAAGTTCAAACATAAATTTACAAAACGTGAATTTACAAAATTATATTTATGTTATACCAATAAAATATACCAATTTATAATTTTTCAATGAAGTACTTATTTAAGTTCTTTTTAAATAATATATAGCAAAAGATTTGTAACAAAATACATTTATAATTATTTCGATTACACTTGGAGATGCTATGGTGATCAATCAGTTACTATTATTCTTACTGTTCACATTATAAATTAACAAATCATTATTATTAACAGATTATGGATTTGGAGTTTGATGAAATATCAGATATGCCAAAAATTAGAAGCTATGAGGAAATTTTGGGTCAAAAACAAGATGAAGAAGGATTTGAAACTGCAACCACAACCGAACAAGTATGTATTTCTGTGTGAAAATGCAAATATATACTTTACTGTAATAAATTACATATTTTTATGTTATATTTAATGTTAATACACTATAACGCAAGTTCAACTGACTAACTAGTTTCAATTTGAATCAGAATCGTGTTGAAGGCGACGTGCTTACATTATATCAATTATGTAAAGAACCAACTTTAATTAGACAAAGGCATATTGGCTTTTTAAAGAGATCAATCAATAATTTAAGTGAAGCTTACGAGGTAGGTTTATGGTTCTTAATATCGATATAGATAATATATAATCTTACTAATATAATTTATATACTGATGATTGATGGTACTACTGATCAATCTGATATATTCTTCCCATATATGACAACATTCGAAGTATGATAAAGTATTTTTTTTGAGTATTTATAACTGTTACAGTGTTTGGACTGCAGTAAGCCCTGGTTGTGTTACTGGATACTACATTCGCTTGAAATATTAGGAGAACGTTTAGAAGACACAGAATATTCAAGAATAGCAGGCTTTCTGGCGAAATGTCAATCACCGGAAGGTGGTTTTGGAGGTGGCCCTGGACAATATCCCCATTTAGCCTCCACATACGCTGCTGTAAATGCATTGTGCACTATTGGTACGCAAGAGGCATACAATGTGATAGATAGGTATGCATGTTGATATATCGCAAGGTATAATTTGTCGTGCCATGTTACATCATACTCAAAGAATCACTACATTTTGCGCATTGCTCGAAATAATTAGCGGATTGCTTCTTCAAACGTTCACATGACTCAACGAACATATTAGATGTTGCATCCTTCGATAACGCTATTTTTATCTTGAGTAAACCTACTTATATAAATGCATCCTATTTTAGCTTCTTTTTTACTTTCTGATGTTTAGTTCAAGGTACAGAATTACACTCCTTGACATAATTTTCCAAATCTCAAACGATATATATTCAATATAAAAATAATGGTAATTTCAGAAAGAACTTGGGGCAGTTTTTAGCGTCTTTACGGGGGGAAGACGGTTCTTTCTGCATGCATGCCAATGGGGAAATAGACATGCGAGGAGCGTACTGCGCTCTAGTTGCCGCGAAATTAACAAATGTGTACACTCCGGACATGTTCAAAGGAACGGAAGAATGGATAGCCAAGTGTCAGACATGGGAGGGTGGGTTTGGGGGTTGTCCAGGGATGGAGGCTCACGGTGGATATGCGTACTGTGGTTTAGCAGCGCTTGTGCTCCTTGGGAAAACTCACATGTGCCGTTTACCGGCACTCTTGGTGAGAATCACTGATATATTAGAAAATTTAGGATTACTAATAAAATCTTTATCCTTAGATTAGATCACAATACACTTGCTCTTTTCCTTTTCTTTTTTTTTTAGAGGTGGATAGTGAATAAGCAGATGCGTCTAGAGGGTGGCTTTCAAGGACGTACCAATAAACTGGTGGATGGTTGTTATTCGTTCTGGCAAGGCGGAGCGTTCCCGTTGATTCACGCTATCTTGTCGAAGGAGGAAAAAGTGTTTAATTCCAGTTACTGGTTGTTCAATCAAGAGGCCTTACAAGAGTACATATTAGTCTGTTGTCAACATCCACACGGTGGTCTTCTGGATAAACCGGGAAAGTATGATTCATTTATATTAGTAATTGTATTACTAATTGCAAAGATAAAAAGTGTATCCTTTCTTTTTATCAACGATAATTGCGGAAGAACGTACATCATCATGACAACGTTCATTATTCATCCTTTTGTACCTTTTTCAGAAACCGAGACATATATCATACATGTTACGCTCTCAGCGGATTATCAGTTGCGCAAAATTCACCACAGCCGTCGATCGTTGGATCAAAAGTAACAAATTCAGTGGCGGTCATACATCCTGTCTACAACCTGGTAGTTTCCTCAGCTACGAACGCGCTGAAGCACTTTGGTGCCCTACCGATACCTGATTTTAATGCATCTTAGCTATTTTAAGGTGTATTATATATATATATATATTTAGGTTTCTTTTTTCTAAAATATAAATTTCAATATATTACATAAATTATTATTTTGAATGTGCCTCTATTTAGTAAAAATATACACACAGGCCGGTATAATATTTTCGTGAAGGAATTACAGCTTGTTGAGTTTCGCCTATGTTTTATGTTATAATGAGAAGTACATCTGATCAGTTCTTGAGTCATACTACTTAAGAAATAGAAGGTACCTCCTGCTTTATCATTTAGTCATATCATAACCTCAGTTTCTTGTTAAGTATAGTGGCGACTCGTAGCGGAGATTCTGGAACTAAATTTCAGAAATAACGGGTCTAATGATTTCGTAAACCCGTTATTTCTGTTTATAATTTCTGTCACTAGTAATAAAATTTATCAGGCACTTAATAATTACGAGAGCATTGAGAGTTACATATAACTGGTCTTTAAAGATGTTTTTTTTCAAATGTACTCGATCGTAGGAGAGAACGGTATTTGTCTAACAATTGTTTACGCGTACACACATATCACATTGTCGTCGTCTTAACGTCGCCCGGCACGGCGTTGCGAATCAGCTTTGCAAATCTGTCTGTCATTTGCTCGATGGTTTCGCTGCCGCACGCAGAGGCGCATTTTGACGCATCGGGCGTACATGCGCAACGCCAGACGGAGAGCGAGAGGGAGAGAGGGAGCGCACGAGGGAGCGAGCGAGAGAGAGAGAGAGAAAGAAAGAAAGAGAGGGAGGTAGGCAAGTTGCGTCAAGTTACCGTGCGCTGTCATTTGGCGGCGTTTCGTTATTCACTGTGTGTGTCAGTAACGCATTTCGTAGAGAGGTGATCGAGTCTCAGCCGGGCGGCACGGTAACGGCGTGTTCCTCAATCGAGCACCGTAGGAAATGGCGGACACGACTGTAGACGCTACGCGACGCCTGAACGTGAAAAAACAAACGCTGGATGACGCTTACGCGGCGCCCGCCAACTTCCTCGAAATCGACGTAATTAATCCAATCACACATGGTGTCGGCAAGAAACGTTACACCGATTACGAGGTCCGCATGAGGGTGAGTACACGCACATAGTGCATTTGACTTCACTTATCCGTCTCTCTCCGTCTCGGAGGGTGTTCGGCCTCGCGCTTTCGAACGTTACTACGAGCGCAACTCGTTATCAACATATTGCTGCAGACGTACGTACGTTTGCTCGGGGATTCCCTTTCGCGCGATTTCCGATCCACGCGGACCGTCTCTTTCCGTTCTCGACGACGACGACGGGCGTTTTTCACGTTTCAACATTGTTCGTAACGTTCTATTACGTGCTGTGATTGGGTGGTATCGTGGGCAGTACCCGCTATCGGCACAAGCAGATAAAAGCTCGAAAACCACTCGGTGCCCCGAAGCGGATACGAGTCTCGTCCTCTAAATTCGGCCTCGATATATATCTCGTGTACTTCTCTTTTTGTGATATTTCCATTTCGAGATGGTTCGAGAGGCAGAAAAAAAGAGTTCGATAAGAATACAGGAAGGTTCTCAGGTCTCGCTATCTGGATCGTACCGATGTCCTTTTTCGTGGTAACTGTGATCCTCTTGAGAATGAAACTAGTATTATATCAGCTGTCCTTCTATCATATCTGTTGTGTGATAACACAGGCATAGATGTAGTACATATATTTACAAATCTTACTTAAGATATGTAAATCTCTCGAACTTAAGAAGCTGATTTAAAAATATCTTACGTGAAAGAGAACTTGTATCTATATATATATATCTTTGTGAGAATATATTATTTCAACATGACGTATGATAATCTATTATGGGATACATTTCAGCTCTGGAAAAGCATTCGGTTAAAACTATACTATTACTGATCAGACATGCAATAATTTATATATATAACGATGATATACATCTATACAATGTGATATTTACCCAAACTTAATAAATATCTAATAAATATGTTGTTGGTTTAACGTATTTAAATATTCGATACATGAATTGTTAGATGGAATAATAGCATGAATACGTGACATCTTTACATGGTAGTTGATTATTAGTGGTACAATTGGCAGAGGTGGTATTACAAAGGGATATGTATGGAATAATCAGTAATACCGCAGTATTACTGATTTTTCAGAAATAAATGTGAAGATAGCAATTATATGCCATTATTAATAATATTTCTATACTAATCAACTTGCAGACAAACTTACCAGTCTTTAAAGTAAAGGATTCAACCGTGAGGAGACGATACAGTGATTTCGAGTGGCTGAGGAATGAATTAGAAAGAGATAGTAAGGTTAGTTGATGAAATGAAGTATGCTGTCTTCTAATAACATGGCATATAAATGGCATTATAAACGCAGTTACCTTTAAAAAATATTTAATAATTTCGATATACTTCTTTATACTCGAGATTAAATATGTCGATTGTTTCGACAAAGTTGCTCACACACCTTTATTAAAAGTAATTTATTTCGAAAGAAGTACATCATTGCTACTTAATCATCATATTTTTCCACAAGATTGTAGTGCCACCTTTACCAGGGAAAGCCTGGAAACGTCAGATGCCTTTTCGTGGAGACGATGGCATATTCGAGGAGGATTTCATCGAAGATCGGAGGAAAGGCTTGGAGGTTTTTGTTAATAAGTAAGCTCGCTCACGTGTAAACATGCATATAATTGACACCTCGAAACGGCCACCGCCATCACAGTTTAAAGAAAGTTTCCTTCCCTCAATAGCCCTTTCAGCGCTATGAACCCGTCATATATATGTGTTCCAATGCTAACGTGTATTACGTCCAGTCTGGCGGCGTATCGCGTTCGATCGAAGGTTTTTTTAGTGCTGAAAAGGTTAAAGGAACGGCCATTTACTACGCCCGACAATCGGACAAATCGTCACAGGTCGTCGTTGAAACACGTGTACGAGAGCGTGAATTATACCTGCGACCGATACACCGAATGTAAGCAACTGACAGTCTACATTGTTAATTATTTCAGAATAGCCGGACATCCCTTGGCACAGAACGAACGATGTTTACACATGTTTCTACAGGAGGCTGTAATAGACAAGAACTATGTACCTGGAAAAATACGTAATACATAAGTACGCTCGTAAGGAAGTATCACAAGAATACCTTTTTCCACCAAGCCTTTACTACCTACTCATGAGAGAGAGGTCACGTTTTCATTGTATTGACATCTTATTCGGAAATTTACACGTCCCTCGATATTTTTGCAACAGTTAAACTTGAGCGAACTTCCAATTGCGCTACGACCGTCGAATCGGAACACGTGTTTGGGGATGTACACACACACACACACACATTCACACATTTAGTTCACTCTCCGTAAATATGCTAATCTACGATATAAAAATATAATAGCTAAGCGTCTTTATATGGAGGAGGAGGAAATAAAATAGAGTAAATCGGCAAGATCACTCTTACTTGTTAGTGGGTTGATTCTGTCTACTGTTATCATGATACTGTTTATAACAAAAGGAGAATAAGTAAAAAATAAAAGAAGAAATGTTATCATTCGTAAATTATGTCGTGTGAAACGAACCCTTCGTAACAGTGCTAAGTAATTCCGATAATGTACGGTAGCAAGACACTCGTTTGACATATTTAATACATATTTCATACTGTGAGCCGTTAGATGGAATAGTAGCATAACATGAGTCATGAGTGAAACATTTTCCTCGGGTAATCGGTAGTTCATTAGCGGTACGACCAACCGGCGAAGAGACACAAGTGGGAAATGTTGAATAAATTTGTCGTGTGTCATTTTTGTTGGAAAGAAAATCGATGTATCGGTGGTTTATTTCCATTAATTAAATTAATTTTGCGCATCACTTTTAACAAGCGCGTTACGAATCGGGAGACTTGATTTCGAAACTGCTGAAATACGAGTAAAAATATTCCATCTCGAACAAATACGAGTACTCTTACTATTTTACTATTTTAATCAAGAATGGACTGCAGCTTATTCTCTTTTTTTTTTTTCTTTACGTAAAATCACTCCGCTTGTGTCACCGATAAATTATCTCATATACATCTCGCTTCGATGCATGATTAATCTGACACGATACGATAGAGTTCTCGCGGTCCGCTCCGTATAAAAGAAAAAAGTACTAAGAGAGAATGTCACGGCTTGCAACTACTGTTTCGCTCAATGACTCCTGCGCGTCCGTGTGTGAATTGCTCAAGGAAGATCAATTGTGTTGTAGAACGTAGTGCTCACCGGTTTTCTTTCCTTATTATTGTATTATTATTATCTCATTGTTGTTATTATTATTATTATTATTATTATTATTATTATTATTATTATTAATCGATGTTATTAATATTACTAGGCTAAATAACTAACCTTTATCATTGTAAAGAACTATTTTATATATTCGCCAAACTTATGTACACACACCCGCACATATACAAAAAGCGTATATAAACGACTAGCTCATCTTCTTCAGTCTCGACCAGCATTCTCGCTACTAAACAGGCCGTGCAAATCTATAAATCAGATAAATGAGATACGTTACACGAAGCCATACCGAGTTTAAGTCGATACGCTAATCGAATTTCAAATTGGTCACTGATTACAGCTTACCTGTGTGGTGAATCAATGTGGAGAATTAATGTTTTAAACGAAAGGAAAGGATCGATTATATATATTATATTATATATATATTATATATAATTTCCGTGCCTGCCGCGGCGAAAGCGCATCTTTGGAGCTTGTTCGGTGCTTTGTGAATCTCCTTGTTACATATGACTTCTTGATTTTTATATGTGTAGAATATCTAGTATATTGTTATCAATTAGTATCATCATTATGATTATCACTCTACGATCATCGTCATTGCCATTGTCATTATTATTATTATTATTATTATTATTATTGTCGTGGACATAATTTTATTTTATTATCGTTATTGTATCTATATATTATTCAAAAATCAATAGTAAAGTTTATCAATTATACTTAGTGTTTTTTTCTCGATTTTGCGATTTTGCCCGCTCACATGTTACACGAAATCTCGATTTCCGTGTTCCGCAATACAAACTAAAATTCACGACGCGATCTCTCCTTACCGGGAGAGATTTTACCTCGTGACACCGCAAGGACCAATCGCTCTGATCGACTGTCTAAATCTGTTAATCGCTCGGTCATCATATCATTACAATAATAAATTTTGATTTTTGTCGCAGGTAAGATTCTCTTTGGTTTTTGTCGCAAGTAAGATCATCATTACAATAATAAATTTTGGCTTTTGTCGCAGGTAAGATTCACAAATGCTAGAATAGTTCTTTTAGACGGTATGATTTCCACAACAATTTTAGATGGTACGACTGCTGCAACAATTTTATATGCAACACAACGCATTCTCGTATATATTGATATTGAAAAATAAAAATTGTCACTATACGCCCCCCCCCCCCTATATTGTAGCCAAATTTTTACTTAGACCTGAACGAAAAAATCCATCGTGAAGCATCTCGACTCTCTGAACGTTCGAAGTGTTCTCGTCGTCCCTTGAGTTGTTTTCCATTTCTTACATTAGATACATGCGTATAGCAATTTTCGTCTTTCTTTCACTTACATGAGAAAATAAACTGGTAATTTGCACAAGAAAGAGAGACAAACTTTTGCATACACCTGAACAGAAATTGTCCATGTCGATCGTCGAGTCATTGTAGTAAAGGAATTACACACGTATACTTATATTATACATCATATTTTTTTATACAAATCTATGAGAGAATGAAATGATTTCAGGATCTTAAACAACAATAATTTACATTACGACGCACGATCTCAACGTTCTACTAACTTGCATTGCTATAATAATAGAATGAACAAAATGCCATACCAGTTAGAGATATATATCTTGCTTGGTCTTGATACACTTCTTGTTCTTGAAATAATTATTTATGTAAGTGCTCACACATTCTCGTTCTGAAATATACAAGAGAGAAAAAAAGACGGATGACAAAGTGTGCCGTTAATTGCACAAATGTGCGATGCTTAAAGTTTCCAATTCTGCGATTGATTTATTTATTTTATCATTACTCACCGGGAAACGTGTCTTTTATAATGAGCATATCCGCGATGTACTTTGCAACGGCCTTGAACAATTGTCGGTCCTTGATTTTCCGTTTCTTATAAAAAGGCATCAAGTACTTGACGATCCAGGGCGCTATCCTCTCTTTGCACGCCGACAGATGCTCCTCTATACAGATCGGCGAGTCCGGCATCATCTCTTCTTCGTCGGATTCACCGAACAATTGAAGGAATTTCTCCTTCAACATCCCGTGCCTTCGGTAATTCGTCATTGACAATTCGGTCATGATGGTTTTTAGCTTTGACACTTGGTGAACACGTTCCACGAGCCAGACGGCGTTTATCCTCTCCTTCTGCTTCGTATCTCTCACGTCGTTTATCTCGCTTTCGTCGGACTCGTTTGGCACGTTTGCCCTTTTGCTTCGCATCTCCTTGTAGCGACTGTAACTGACTTTACCCTCGCTCATATTTCTTATTGCCGCGCCGGATATGTTATTCGTTACAGTCGACACTTTGTTACTTTGCGACATGATGCTCGGCCCCGTCGCGTTCAAACATATCTCATTGATTTCTCTGTCAATGTTAGCTTTACTGACGCCGGAATACTTCTCTATCAATTTTGTAAGATCACTGCTGTCGTCGCTCTCGCAAAACATGTCCTCCATATGCTGCAATATCGAGTCCTGCGAATTCTCATCCTCATTCCCTTTCGCGTTCGCATCAGCCGTTACTCGAGAATCGCTCTTATCCTCAGTTTTTTGACTAGCATCGTTAAATACTTCCTTCAGTGTGTCTTCATCGCACGACATTTGTACATCCATTTCGTTATTAACGTCTCGTGTGATATTTTCATTCCCATTAAAGTTACTGGAATTCACGATGGGCGATGTCGTTCGTAACATTTCCTCCGAGTTGGATGTGATACACACGCTCTGTATATTATCGGTTCCATGTAGATCCACACATTTATCATCCGTTTGTACGAAAACATCAATTTTTTCCTTAGGTGCTTCTAAAAATATTAATAATTTCTTATATACTTTTTTGTTGACAGTGTGCGATTTTATGTCCGCAATCTGCAAAGATTAACAGATCACAGAATTATACATATATATAGTGAAGAAATGATTAGACGAAATTCGTTTATATTCTTACCATTTTCAACATGGTTTTTCTATATAAATTAGCTTCTAATGCCAATCGGACAGCATTTAGTTCCATCTGGTCTGCACATCTTTTTACTATAGCACTTGGGTCTTCGTCATTTCGTTCGTAACAAGTTATATAATTACTAAGTAAACATTTGTGAAGATTTGACAAATATACAGCACGAACCTGTATAAATAATGAATTATGTATATTATATAATAATCGATATATTGTATTATATGACAATAGTCCTAAGTAAAATGCACAAATGAATAAAATATATATCGTATATATTATTCTATTTAGCAAGGTTGGGTAAATTAATTTTTTAACTAAGTTAAACTCTAACTAAGTTTGCATCTAAGTTAAACTCTAAACTAAGTTTGCATTAAAAGTTATATAAATAATAATTAACTCAATTAAAAATTAAGTAAAAAATTAAATTGATTTTAAAGTTCAAAGTTAAAGTTAATTATTTACAAAACAATACATATATGTATATATATGTGTGTGGTTTTTCATAATTAACTTTTAAACATAGATTAAATTTATATGTGAAATAACAGAAAGGTATTTTTTCATAATATATTTTCTTATATAATAATTTATACATTATAATAGATTACACAAGGTATTTACTCTCTCTATCTGCATACAAGTGTTTTATCTTTAATTAAATGACATTCTGTATATTATAATAATTTAGAAATACTTATTAAATATTAATAAAAAATATTATCTTAAAAAAATTATAAGCAGTTTTTTTTTTCTTTTAAATCATATATTGATATAAGTTACCCACAGATATCATCTTAAGATAACACGTAGCCATAACATAACATTAGAAAAAATATAAATATTTCATTTGCTATAAACATTCCTTAACATAGCCTTGTTTAAAGCAATTTAATTTTGGCTAACCTGTTATTTTAATAAACAATATTGTTATACATTAAGTTATTCATTGGCCATTTTTCTACAGAATCTATATGTAATTTAAATTCAACTATAAAATATAAAATTAAAAATGTCGAAGATCTAATTTAGTCGCAATATCAATTCAATATCAATGTCAAAACTTGAAATATATATGTATTTGTAAACACATGTATTAAGTAAATATCCTTGGCACAAAATAAATTTAAAGTAAATGTCTTTGTGACATTTGTGATAAAGTTAAATTTGACGTACACACATTTGTTATACAAGAAAACAGTTAAACAAGGAAAAGCAGTATTGTAATAAAAAAATGTGCCAAGTATCGAGTATAAAATGTATGAAACAAAGTGTAAAATGCCATAAGAAAAACACACACAAACATACCATTTCGGTGAGACGCAGGAACTCGCTGGATTCACGATGCATAACGGAATTCTCCACGGAAAGCAATGGCAGGGGCATCGATAGGGGGTTAATGTCATCTACGTTCGTAGTATCGCCGTTGTCAATGCCGATGTCATCTTCTGTTCTCATTGTAAATGGCAGAGAAGCGTCGATACGGTCCGTTGCCATCATTGTGGCGGATGTTTTGTAATTACCGTTGCAATCACACAACAATGAATTACCTAGATACGAAGTCTTCTATGAGATATTAAAACAATGTATGACGCACATCACGCTTCCATTGTAATGACAAAGGTCTCACGACACCAATCCTTCCACCGTTCTTTCAAAACATGCAATCAATCGAACCGAAATACCTGTAATCCTATGGCATCCTACCGCGTCGATTAACCTATTAAGCAGACTGAAAACTCGTGTTATGGCTGCTGCACATAAAATGCGGAGAACGCTTGCCGCGCAGCAAGAAGCGACGCGTTAGCCAATTCGCTGCTTTTTCACGAGAGCTAAAAGCTTATTGGCTGCCGCGTCGCTACTCGCGTCGTGCGGTAAGTGTTTTTGCGCTTTGTAGTCCCGACGTCTGTTCGTTTTCGCTGCACCGCTGAACTAGTGCAATAAGTTGAAGTGAGAAAACATATACTTGTCTCGCTTCAACTTATTGCATTAGTTCAACGGTGCAGCGAAAACGAACAGACCTCTGGTCTACAATACGTGTTTTAAACTATGAGCCTTAAGAAATTGACCATTCACAGTTCAAATGTGAGGAGAATAATCGACTGTGATTGGTCTATTTCTCGAAATCTTGCGATTATGCGACTAATGTAGAACCAGCTTTACGTTTCGAGATACGCGAACGACCTCCAGATCTATGTATATTTTACTAGAAACTGCGAGCTAAGTATTAAAGTTAGGCAACAAATTGCTTCCACAAATTGCGGAGGAAAACTTAATTTTTCTGGGGGAAAACCTTATTTCCCTATGTATCGATACTGTATCGCTCAATTCTGCTGGGTATCGACACGTAACTTTTCCATAGGGTGGAAATGTGAAGAGTGAAAAGTCCAAATATTTCCAAACCAGAAAATTTAATTTTTTTCACGAACTCACATGTTAGGCTCGTATCACACTATGGATTAGGATTGAGATTGGATTGAAATTTGACCAATCAAAGCAAGTTCAAACAAACTCAAGTCACTGATCCATAGTGTGATACGAACCTTAGAGGAGAAGATTCATAGTCAATCCCCCAGGGGGTCATGAATGATCTTTTTTCGCATAAACTCGTGAAGAGAATAAACTTTCAAACTTGAAAACATTCGGAATCTTCACTCTTCATGTTTCCGCCCTAAAGAGAATTTACGTGATCGATGCTTTGCGCGCGCATCGCGAGATTACTTTCTTTCACCTTTTTGTCCCACGATTTCCCATCCTGGGCCTGATTGGCCTCCATTTTCCCCGAGCGCGGTAGAGTGAATGTTCTCTGCGAGAAGAATTGTTAAGGACTTGGTATGATAGTTCTTCCACGTTTATGATTTTGTAGTAGGTGCGTCTCAGCATGTTTCGTTATTGATATTTCCGTTGTAACGCGTTTTACACAAAAACAATTATTCTTCGATAACCTTTAAGTTAGCTTTGAAATAAATCTCGTTGAACGGCACTTTAGCTCTTACGAAATAGGTTAACGTCGCGTGGCACTAACAGCTTTTACATTTGTAATAGTTTAAAATCTCGTTGAAATCACCAACCGACTCGTTACTTACGTATTTTGGAATTTATTCAAGCAAAACAAGCAAAAAGATGATGTAAGATATGCCATAATTTTAATATGAAATGATTATTTAACAGTATATTCAGTTTGGTTAGGTCACGTGTTCGCAAATTATTTTGGGAAAAATCATGCAAATTAATGTAGTAGTAGTTACCACACCATTTTCTCATTCTAATTTCTCTTCATGAACACCTTGTGTATTTCAAGCTGTAAGAATTGAAATTGTTGGGGTGGATCACCTTGCTGTCATACTATTTTAGCTTTTGGAAACATTTGCGCAGAAAAATGTATTAAATATATTTTTTTCAATACCTGACACATACCGTTGAAATAAATATTTATCATTATTTCATTTGTTGTATATTATCGTCGAACAAGTAAGTCTCTGTATAAACTGGTTCAAAGTAAAAAAAAACAACAATAAAACTAATTAAATCAGAGCTAATCAGAGCTATTTATATATACCACTTACCCAGTAAGTTCTTTTACTCTTCTATTATATACTTCAGTTTGTTAAGATTGACATTAATCTTTAGCCAATAGCAGTAAAAGAATTAATTATTATCCTTTTATGGATGAATTATAAAGTATGTAATATATATACAGAGTTTAATATTGATTCATGTATGTTACAGTTTAATTAAGTCAATTTTCTATCGTCATGCCGCCAAAAAAATCTATGGAGGAAACGGATCGCTTGACCCGTATAGCAATTGTAAATTCCGATAAGTGCAAGCCCAAACGATGCAGACAAGAGTGCAAGAGGTCATGTCCGGTGGTGCGAATGGGAAAACTCTGTATAGAAGTTAACCCAAACAGTAAAATAGCATCCATCTCGGAGGAACTGTGCATTGGATGTGGTATCTGTGTCAAGGTATGGTAAAGAACAGTTATATAAAAGCACTTATGATGTAAAACTAATAAATTAAACTAATTTAAACTATTGAATTGAGTTAGCCATCCCAATAATTAGATATAATTAAGCAGCTTTCAATAATTAAAGTAATATAGTATTACAAGTAGTATATACATATTTCACATTATAATAACAATGTACAATAAAATAGTAATAATGGATAAAGCTAACAATAGCAATAAAAGTAAAAAAATAGCTGATCATAACGATAAAAATATAATTAGTACAAACAAAAATTGAATTTTGCAGAAATGTCCATTTGAAGCGATATCTATCATTAATCTTCCTAGCAATTTGGAGAAGGAAACAACGCATCGCTACTCGAAAAACTCGTTTAAGTTGCATAGACTTCCTATTCCGCGTCCCGGCGAAGTTCTCGGGCTTGTAGGTACTAATGGAATTGGTAAATCGACCGCCCTTAAAATTTTAGCCGGCAAACAAAAACCAAACCTGGGCAGGTTTTCCGTATGTAATACTTTCTCTACTGTAAATTATGTATTTACGTAAAAATATATTGACTTGAATCAGTCAATAATTAAAGGCCGAATAATACAGGGGTTTTTTTTTCGTTCGAATAGGACCCGCCAGATTGGACAGAAATTCTCAGTCACTTCAGGGGCAGCGAATTGCAGAATTATTTCACCAAGATCTTAGAGGATGATCTGAAAGCGCTTATCAAGCCTCAGTATGTAGATCAGATTCCTAAAGCGGTAAAGGGCACTGTGCAACAACTACTGGACAAAAAGGACGAATGCAAGAATCAAATGATAATCTGTGAAATGCTCGGTAAACGTTTGGATTTCCATCAGTTTTCGAGTATGCGTACGTATGTGTGTACACAGTTTCACTAACTACGTGCACCTCTTTTAGATCTGTTACATATACGCGATCGAGGTATTGAAGCGCTCTCCGGCGGTGAGCTGCAGCGATTCGCTTGTGCAATGGTATGCATTCAGAACGGAGATATCTTTATGTTCGACGAGCCCTCTTCATACCTTGACGTCAAACAGCGTCTCAATGCTGCTGTGACTATCAGATCCCTTATTCATCCTGACAAGTAAGTATTCATTGCACAAAAGGCTTCCCAGTGAGCAGAATGTCCAGAAACGACACGTAAGACAACCTCAAGATATCTCTCAGAGTTCTTTGAGAAACGTCGTATAGATGTTTCTTAAAGAACTCTTAATCCTAGTCCACAATAGATGCTTTAAGCCCCAAGCTTTAAATTCTCATTATAGGCCCCACTTTATGCGTCGATTTTGGACATTCTGCTCACTGAGTTATGACTAATCAGTTATACTTTCGATATATATATATACAATTTGTCTCTTAATGTGACAGATTTATAATCGTCGTGGAGCACGATTTATCGGTCTTGGACTATCTGTCTGATTTCATTTGTTGCCTCTACGGCGTGCCTGGGGCGTACGGGGTCGTCACTATGCCGTTTTCCGTGAGAGAAGGGATAAACATTTTCCTCGACGGATTCGTCCCCACGGAGAATTTGCGTTTCCGCGAGGAGTCTCTCGTCTTCAAAGTGGCGGAGAGCGCCACCGAGGAAGAGGTTAAGCGCATGAATCACTACGAGTATCCCGCGATGACGAAGACTATGGGCTCGTTTAAATTGTGTGTCGAGAAGGGCCAGTTCACCGATTCGGAGATACTCGTGTTGCTGGGAGAAAACGGAACTGGAAAAACGACTTTCATTAGAATGTTGGCCGGCAACTTGCCGCCGGATGATGGATCAGGTGAATTCAAGCATATATATATATATATCTAGAGTGTAACTATATAAGTGTTATTATTCTGTTATTTTCGGATGAAAAATCAAACATGGGAGCGACTCATTTTTCTCACTTTTAAGAAAAAAAACTTCCTTCACTTTTTACTTGACTCGAGTCTTTTAAAGAAGAAAATTCGATCATAAGAAATCATGTTCAATGATTAGATTCTTTAAAAATAGAAGATTCAATGAAAATAGAAACTACCAATGACTACGACAACACAATATATATAAAGAGAAAAACCGATTTTATTTTTCCAACATCTCGGAGATTCTTTCGGGTTCGAGTAGACACTCTGTGTTATGTGTATTTTTTGTTCTTCAAAATTCAAATTTTGCTCTTCATTGACTTTCACCATAAGTTCAGTATTTTTAATCTCTTAGAAGAGTGATATAATAAACAGTGTAATGTTTAATGTATAAATTATTTGCAAAAGACTAATTTTTTTTTAAAGTTGACTCATCATTTTTTTATGTTTTCAAGAATGAAAGGAACTTCACTCTTCTCACTATTTTTGTACAATTTTAAACTTTTTCTTTTTACAATTAAATCGCTCCCACGTCTGTCTGAAAAGAACGAGATGACGATTCTACTTGAAAACACCGGCTGTAATGCAAAATACGCGTTGCATTCGCAGAGAGTATTCCCCAGCTTCATATAAGTTACAAGCCACAGAAAATAAGTCCCAAGTCTCAGGGCATCGTCAGACAGCTGTTGCACGAGAAGATCAGAGACGCGTACGTGCACCCGCAATTCGTGACCGACGTGATGAAACCCCTGAAGATCGACGATATCATGGATCAGGAGGTGCAAAATCTCTCTGGGGGAGAGTTGCAGCGTGTTGCTTTGGCCCTTTGCTTGGGCAAGCCTGCTGATGTTTATCTGATCGACGAGCCCTCAGCATATTTGGATTCTGAGCAACGTTTGGTCGCTGCGAAAGTTATCAAAAGGTACGCGATACGACACCTGGTTCGATCGGTAAAGACAAAAAAGTCGATCAGAGACGACGACGCGCGAATGTTGACGCGTAATTTTAAGTGGTTGGGAAAGTTGTAACTTCTAAGGTCGGTACTTTTTTACAAGTGAAAAAGAAAATCAGACAGTAGGAACGAACGAGCTCTTTGAATGTTTAATAATTTGCATTGAATTTGAATCGAGATGTTTTAATAATTTGTATTTTAGGTTTATATTGCACGCGAAAAAAACGGGATTCGTGGTGGAGCACGATTTTATAATGGCAACGTATCTGGCGGATCGCGTGATAGTATTTTCCGGCACGCCGTCTCTGGCGACCGTTGCGCACAGTCCTCAGTCTTTGTTGAATGGCATGAATAGATTTTTGGAGCTGTTAGGCATCACCTTTAGAAGAGACCCGAACAACTTCCGACCGAGGATCAACAAGAATCAATCGGTGAAGGTACGTGTAATCTTTGCTGATGTCAATCGCTCCTCGAGTGCAATAGAGGGCTCCATTATAAGCTCGGTTTTTTGAGGCTTTGGTGTGAAATAAGTTTCGGTATAAAGCGGCACATAATATATGTAGTCGAGCTATTCATCTTCGGTAATTTCGAAGCTTCGAAGGGAACTTCAAACTCTTGAGTTTTAATAAGTCGAAGTCTCGAAGGTATGTTTTCGAAGACCGCAGTGTGAAGCTTCGTGGAGCACAGCTTTATGAATAAGATTGAAATTAGATAGCAAATTTAAACGTTCTTTTTTATATTGTAAGGCCTCTGGATACTCGATACAAGCTGTCGTTCTTTGATGTAAGAAACGAGGAAAATATAATAATATTTTTGGCATATTATAAAAATGTTAGAATATTAAAAAAATAAATAAAATAATAATAATATAGAAAAGTATATATGAAAAAGAAAATTATATATATATATATATACTCTTATCTCTTTCCCGTCATGTACGTATGTATATATATATATATATATATATATATA